AGATTGTAATTTGATTTCTTTCATGGAAACACAGACAAGAAATGCGTAATAAAAATTTAAAAACCTATAATCCAGACTGCAAAAAGCATTAACCAGAAAAGTCTTGGCTATAAAGCTAATCATGCATTGAAAATAGATTGCAAAGGTTAGAGAAAGATTGATAAAGATTAACATAGACTGCAAAGATTGATAAAGAGAGACAAAGAAAGATTGCAAAATAAAAGTGAGAAACATGCCTGCTTGCAACTCGACATAAAAATAATGACTTTTGATTTGAGGTGATTCTTGATAAATGAGTACAAAAAGTTGATTTTGTCTTGCAGCTCACAGATAACGAAATACTGAAAGATAAACCATTGTCAGGTGAAGGATACTGGAAAACATTTGCATCGACACAAAATATCTTTTAACAAAAAATAGTATAATAAAAGTAATAGATTTACCAGCCACAATAAAAATTATTCTTGTTCAACATTTAGAAACCTTTAAATTTAATCTTAACCTTTGCTTAAAATCAGAAGAATTCAAACAGAAACAAGAAAGAACAAATCACTTGACATTATTAAAAACTCAAAGCAAGAGATAATGAATTTTACTGTATTTGATTTTACATCTAGAAAAAAAGGAACATTTTAGCATGTGAATAATGTGCTACTTAGTTCCCTCTTGTACCTAACTTTGATAAACCGGATAGGACAGAGGGTGCTAACCTCCAATTTGGATTTAAAATCTACAAAAACTTTAGCTTTACCCAGCTTCTGCAAAATACTTTAAACTAGAAAATGTTTGGAAATAGCAATGTTAGTGGGCCAACTTCAAAACTGGTGTTGAAACTCTACATTTCAATTGATGTTCCACTCCTTCTATTGTTCCTTTCAAGTTACTTAAAATTCAAAATTTTCCACACATTGCAAGCACTGATGCTACTTCTACAGGCAACTTAAAAACATGAAAGTGAATTTCACGAGGTAGTTTTACTTTCAGTTATTTGGAGCAGGTTTTATCCTTCCAGGATCTTTCTACTTGCAACAGTATATTCAAGATACACAATCAAAGGGACAGAAAAAGTTGAAAGTATAGGATAAAGAGCATTGAGATTGTATTAAACAAAGCTTATTACGAACATACCTGTGAAAGTTTTTTGGGAGTGATAAATTTTGCTTTTTCATGTACAGACACATATGAAGGATCCTGTAATACAAAACTATGTTATATGTTGAATCTAACAAA